TGTATGAAGAATCATATATAAGAGATATGTATTTTAATTGAATCTAAAAATTATTCACAACCATATAGTAAAGCTGGTCACTTTATTATTTTAAGGCTGGAGTGTCCAGATTATTTCCAATGTAACGACTGTGATTCACTTCAAGGGAATGATGAGTCTTAAATCATCAGAATGGTTAACTTCGAGTAATGACACTATAACATGAACTAGAATCAAATAAGAATCAAATTTAAGCTTGACTGTTACTTAAATTTTGATCTCACACTTATGCACTTACTTATAGTAAAATCGAATCCTTATGGATAGTGAACTTGTGTTTTGTCTCCTTATAATCTTTAACAAACCATAGTATCATAAAGCGTTGATCTAGGCTCCGTATATTGGGATTATAATCGAGATGAACATCTAGGAACATATAGTCAAATAATGGAGTTCATAGCATTAACATTACTTCTAGCAATTTTAAGAAGATTGGTGATTAATTTGGGCCCAGTGAATTGATGAATTAGCTGCTTATCACATCTTGATACTCAAAAGATTAGATATAGAGTATTGAATCATTAATTGGATGAAATTTGAGACTATGGGACAAAATTGACATACAGGGTAAAATGATAATTTTATTTTTTGTTATTGGATGGTTATGAGGGTTCACAATATGAGGTTTGTAATTGGACAACTAATAATTAATATCAAGTATTGAATCATTTATTGTAATTATAGTTAATCCAAAAGTGCAGCCATGAATCTATGGTGGAATAATTTCGTGGTTAATAAGCTTGAACTATCTTAATGTGATTAAGAATAATTCTAAGTTTATTGGAGCTTGGAATATCTATGTCCAAATCGTTCCCCCTTTAACTTTGTAGAATTCAACTTGTTTAAGTTAGAATGCATGTTTTATTTGATTAATTAAATTGTGTACATAACTGACAACTTTAACATGTTTTATCTTAATTTAGATAAGAAAATATGTTTGTCTTACTTTAGAAAAGAAAACATATTTGTCTTAATTTAGACAAAAAGTCATGTTTGTCTTAATTTAGACAAGAAAACATGTTTGCTTTAATTTAAGACAAGAAAAATATGTTTTGTATTAATCTAGACAAGAAAATATATTTGTCTCAATTTAGACAAGATAACATGTTTTGTTTCAATTAAAGATAAGAGTTGTCTTAAATTATGATAATGCTAAGAGAATCCTAGCATAATGAATCTAGATATCCATGTTGATAAAAGGAAACTCCAATGTTGACTAGCATTCTTTTATTTATTATTAATTTTTTTAATAAAGATGGATAGTAATAAAATAAGAGTTATTATTCAACATGGAGTTTTATTTTATCAAGAACTCTAAATGATAATTAAAGAATTAAATTTTTTAATTTTTTAATTTTAATTTTTATAATTAGAGCATGATTAATGCATCCATAACTTTAAATGGATAATCAAGATTGATTCAAAAGTATTTGATTTTGATTAAACCTTTGATGCAAGGCTTTTAATAAAAAGAGAAGAGATTGGAAGAAAAGAAATGTCCTTATCTCTCTTGAGAAAGTCTCTATAGCCACTTCTTTCCCCCTCGTTTGTTGCACCTCTCTTTCTCTTTTCCAATCTTGGCTGATTTCTTGAAAGAAAAATAGTTATTAATCTTTAAGAAGAAAAGAGAGTAAAATCAATTGTCATCTTGTAATCTAGGATTCCACACCTGGTTTAGTCAAGGTTCAAGTTGAAAGCATTCTTGAAGAATAAGTGGTAAGTTTGTTTTATTGAGAAATGAATCGTTGGTATGGTAGTGAATTTACTAAAATTCACTAGGTATCCAAAAATAAGAATTGTAAAATAAAAAGTACGTTTATTTTTTTTAATAAATTTTTATTTTTTAAAATGTGATTATGTTACTTGCAATATGAATGATGAGTTTTTCCACTTGTGTAATTGGATTACTTGCTTCCTTTATAAAAGAAAATTTTTCAAATTCATACTTTACACAAACACATCAATCTACTTAGATCTGACTCCATCAATTTGTATCAGAGCAAAGTTTATTACAAGTTTTGTTTCCTATATCTATTATGTATGGTTGGCACATTGGCATGTATTGAATTATCTTGATGTGATCAATGTATGGTTGTACATTATGATGCATGATTCAAGGTTTTTGTCAAATTAATTGTCCTAAAAAATTTTACTTATAACTTTTTTTCTTTTGGCTATGTAAGAAGGGTGACTTATCATTGCCATGTTCCTTTCTTAATTTTTTTTATTTTTCCTTAGATTTTTATAACTACGAAAAGCTATGTAATTTTAATATTTCTTGATGTAGTTAGTGCATTCATGGAGAAAAAAGATGAAAGTCAAAAGGAAAAAGGCAATTAGGTAATATTTGAACTTTTTATTTTTTTTATGGCCATTAATATTTTTCTAAGAAAAATGAATTTTTCCTGTATCAATTTCCTTTTTAAGAAAAAGAGATTTTCTTACATTAAAATTCTAGTTTTATAAAAAATATTTTTTGCTAATAAAATATTTTTTTTTAAAAAAAGGAAGGGTTGGGTGTGATGTTGGGCAGCACGGCTCCTTGCTGTGTGCTACTAGGCAACACACAAGTGCTATTCCTTTTTTTAAATAAATATTTTTTTTTGAGAATTAATACTTGTTTTTTCTTCAAAAATATTAATTTTAGAAATTTAAACTTTTAGTCTTGGATTGAAAAAAATAATTTTTATTTTGGTATTAATTAATGAGATTAAATAATTACACATTTAAATTAATTTCAAGTTAGATTAAAAACTAAAGAAAAAATTTTTTTAGCCATTAATCAAAAGAGTACCAAATGCATATGATCCAAGTAAGCAAGATATAAGATAATTACAAGTTGTAAATTTTTTTAAGATGGACATTAATGTGGCTTATTATTATATATATTTATATGTATCTGTACAAATGATATAAGATATTATTTGTATGTTTGAAATCATGTCATCTAGAATTAAGGTGCCAACCTTCCTTAAGAAATGCCATGCATATATTATACATTTTAGTTTAAAAAGAGTCTTATACATTGAGATACATAATGAATATAGAAAAATAAATCACATCTAGACAATATAGTAACCCATTAGGAGCATTTTAATAATTTTTTTACATAATCGGGTTTTTAAACGAGTTCGGGTAATTATCGAGTAGTGGGTATGTGTTCAAGTTTGAGATAAAGTAGTAAATTTTAAAAATATTTGAATAATTATAGAGTTCGAGTATCTCATTTACTAATCGGGTTCGAGTTCTGGTTCGGGTACCTTAAAGTTAACGAATACCTTACCCGTTGACATCCTTAGTAAATCCCATTCATGAATTTCATTTTAAACTAAATTGCATGGTCTCAAAGGAAAAATGCACAGTTGTTATTAAGGTTCCTTGTTTATTTGCTTGTTCTCGTCTTATGTCCTTCACTGAGTTATGATCAACGTTTCAAAATTGCATGTTTTGGTTTTCAAATCCAAAGGGAGCTACACCATAAGGTGAGGAGTCTAACCCATATCCCTTAGTTGGTAGCTATGCTTATGGCATTCGATAGCAGCCTTACACTTGAGTCTTCCACTGTATGAGTTATGAGTTTTGATATATGTGGATAGTTCAGTAAAGACTTGATTTAGCCATGAGGTGGCATATTGATAAGATTTGCACATTGATGTATATAGCCACCTAGTGATCTATGTGGCTGCTCTATATTAAAGATAATGCAGATCCATGTGAGGATAGATGTAAATACACAGGTTGTGATATATGTATGTGTGTGTGTGTGTACGTACACATACACACACCTATATGTATATTTGTGTGTATGTATATGTATATGTACATATGTATACATACACACTTATAGACGTGCGAATGTGTGTGTATATACATATATATATACGTACACATATACAAATCAATATACATACATATATATGTGCGCGCGTGTGTATATATGTATATATATACACATACACATGTATAAGTATATGTATATGTGTCTATGTATATATACACATACACATGTATGTATATATACACATACACATGTATGTATGTGTATGTATATGTATGTACATATACATATACATACATACATGTGTATGTTATGAGGTTCACATGGGTCTTGTGGGCCTAGTTTATTGGGCTCATGTGTCAATTGCAGTCTAAGATTAAGTCTTGACAATATCGATATCTTATTCAAAAATAACGATATGAACAGAATATTATGTTCTCTTTCGAAAACACACCCAATTGGCTCACTTTTTCTTTTTACTTTCAAAAAAAATTAATGGTCATAAAATATGGGATTTTCTAAGAAATAAACTTTCAAAAATTTAAACAAAAAGCATTTATCAATAGCTCACCAAGCTAAATTACTTTTCTATCCTAGCATGAAAATGAAGGGTGTCACGACCCAAATCGAGGAGCCATAACTGTTGCACAAGTCCAACAAGTAAGGCTCGTGAGACCCCGAGCAAGTCTCAAAAATTTGAATTAAATCCGATTACACAACAAATAGCTAAGGATTTTCACATCAACATATTCATAAAATAACTTAAATTCAAATATATATAAATTATTCCTTGGCACATAGTTCATACGTAGCATTTGACATTATATATATATGAATAAGCCATACCTTGGCTAATAAAGCATACAACCCTTAAACAAATTTAAATGGCAACTCGGTGCCCACACATATCCCAAAAACAGATGGATAGAAAGCCAAAATCCGAAAGTGGAAACTAATACATCACAGTCTCAGCAGAATGGACCCATTGGATAAAAGGCCTATTAGATGCCAAAACTGGTCTGTCAAAGGATGACATTAGCCACACACTATCTAGTGGCTTATTTATCTACACATGGTACAAACAAATGGATAAGTAATCTAATATTCAGTGAGGGGTGCAAATAAATCAAGTATATTAGTGCCAATAAATGTATACATACATACATATATATATTGCATTCTCAATGAAACCAAAGTATTCAAATAAGCATCTCCAACATTAAAGGCATATCATTCATCCTTAAAAGTATTCCACAAATTTTACAAATCACATTTATGCTACTATGTCTCCATAAATAGGGCATAATGAATTAAACTTACCCTTGAAGCCATTTTAAAGTTAATCTCTATAGGCACACCATAGTTGCCAAGGTATCACATCGAGTCCAAACTTATCTCTGCCTACTCGAGGCTATATCATATGCTTATAGTTCAAATTGTAGTCATTGAGTGGTACTCTCTGAACATAAACAAATCACATACTCTGACCAATCGATGGGGTCAAATCACACTCAAGTCTAAGTCGCTGATAGATAGTCAAATCAAGCATGGTGCTAAAGTGATCGACAAAAAGTTAGATCACGTTTAGAGCCGAAACATCCAATGTAGAACAAATCACGCTCAATGCCAAAGCAACTAGTGGAGGATTAAAGTCATCATCAGAAATTACTCAATGGATGGCATCCAACCATTGCAGGAGGGAATCACAAATGGGATATAAACTACTGTCCTTGCTTACCACCAACCCTATAAACATAAAATATAGTCACAAGGATTAAGACTCCACTCAACCTTAAATCAAATCAATGTTCGAAATTCTCATTATCAGACAAAATACAAATCCATAATTAAATACGTCATGCATTTGATATCACACATATATATACACTCCATTCGCATTAAAGATCACATTTAATGACCTTTAGATTCTAATTAGCTCGATATCATTTCTAAGTGCCATTAATCCTCCAAGGCATCAAACACCCATAATCCACTAAAAGGTTAATTGTCTTAAGTAAACTACTTTTAGACATTCATCATTTTCGTTAGACCTTCTAGTCTAAGCTTAAACTTATGCCACTATATGGCTTGCGCTAAGGCACACATGCACATCACATATAATATATACAATTTAGTAGCCTAAGCATATCCATCTAGGCATTTACACACACACGCGTATACATACATATATATATATATATTTCAATCACGTATCATGGCAATGCATTATTCAGTGTGTGATGCATTACATGTATTTATTCAAACAAATAAACCCATTCACTGTGACAAACAAAGGTAATTCCACAACCAAGTGGAGTTTTCATGCAACCAATGGTTCTCTAACTCACCAACCTGTTAGTAGCTCTATTTTTCCCTTGAACAAATCAGATTAACAATTATTTCTTAACTTTCAAAAGTTCCCAACATTTCAAACTAGGCCTTATTCCAACTACTCATAGTTATAAAACCTAGGTTTCAAATCTTAAGTTCAAAAGGCTTAAATCTTTATTTTTAATGCCGGGTTACTCAAATCTCAGCTCTAAATTTCGAGCAAACTCAAAAGGGAGAGTATACCCAAGCTAAAATAAATGGGTTTCTAGGTTATAAACCATTTAAATAAAATTTTAATTAGTGAAAATGTTTAATCTTACCTTTAGAATGATTTTCCAAGCTCCAATCCACTTCAAACAAGCTCCAAATCCCATTTAGGGTTTAGGGTTCAAAGGGTGGAGAGTGGGGAGAGTTTCTTTTTTGTTTTAAAATGGGTAGACACCTGAAATCCCCTTTTTATTTTGCATTTTTGAGGTAATCTATCAATAGATGGGAAGCATCTATCGATAAATCTCGCTAAAATTTTTAAGTATTGACCTTCATTTATCGATAGATTTTTTGAGTCTATCGATAGATGGTGCATTGGACCTTTTTATATTTTTCCCATTTAGCTATCTATTTATAGATTTCGCGAATCTATCGATAAATACTTCTCATATGGTTTCCCTTAAATTCGTATAGCTATCTATCGATAGATTTCACAAATCTATCAATAGATTCCATCCAGATCACTTCCTATAATGCTCAGGTGGACACCTATCAATAGTTACGATCCACTTATTCATAAATATTCATCCAACTTGTTTTTTCCCCTTGCCTTTTATCATGTATCTATCGATAGATCATGCCTAAAGTTCAAATTTCCACTTCTTTAAGTCCCCAAACTCACTCCTTGAGGCACCTAATTCATTTCCATCCAATACCCACATTTCAAACATTCATGTAACTCAAAATTCTTTAAACATGTACTCAAATATAAAATCAAATCTCTATCTAAACTTTAAAATTCAAGATTTATCAAACTCTTCTCTAAAATTTCTGCCTAAGTGCCATAAAGCATGCTTCCATATACTTAACATATTCAACATATCTTCAAAATCCTCAAATACACAATAAATTCTAAGATTAGTCTCCACACATAGGCATATTCTCAAACCTCTAAACATATACATCACAATTCAAATCAACTCTTCAAATAACTTAATCAATATTTCCATATTCCATAATCAAAGTCAAGGGTGTTATAAAGGGTTTCACACAAAGAAACTCCAACAACAAAAGGATGAGAGTGTACCCAGAAATGGGAAAAGGACAATTACACCTTTACAAGTTGAAACTCAAGGTAGTTAGAATCCATGTCATATGCAAAAAAAAATGCTTTTTTATTTCTTGTAAGTGTAAACTTGTGCTATTATATGATTGATGGATAGTTTTTGTGCAAGAAATATTTAATGATAATATTTCTTTTTGTATAACCAACAACTTGTATAATATAATATGCTACAAACTTGCAATGGATGGATACGTTTTGTGATTTTTTGTCAATGTAAACTTTTGCAACAATTTTGATGATACCTATATGGTATACCAACTTTATAGTTCACTTGCTTAATAAAAGCAATTAAACCTTTTTCATAGTTTAACAAATTTATACTTCAGTTGCTTATCAAAATTGGTTAAGCCTTTTTTATAGTTTAGTAATTATATACTTCAGCTGCTTAACAAAATTGATCAAATCTCCTATATAGTATGACAATTTTATACTTCACTTGCTTAAGAAATTTAATCAAGCATTTTTATAGTATAGCAATTTCATGTAAACTTCATACCTTTCCTAATCCTTTTCCAATTTCACAAGATCACCATGATTACTAAATAACTCTTCTCCTCCACAAGTCAATAATAAATTAAGATTCTAAATAGAGTAAAGCTGTAACAATTTGCATTAATTTTCTTAAAACAGAAGATTGACATCCACGTCAATCTAATTCATATAACATAAAACAAAATTGTAAAAAAAAATGTACAAACCAACAACATAAAAAAAAATTTTCATTTTCAACTGGTTTGCATCCTCACATAACAAAATCAATTTTTCTCCTTCATGAACCACATAGGAGAAGAAAGTTTCTACAATATTCATCATCCTTAATACCTCATTATCCTTTCTCAATTCTACATTCTCCCTTTTTCGGTCATATATAAGAAATCTAACCCTTTATGTCTTTTTTTCATTATGCAGCCCAAAAAACCCCACAATCTATGGCTTACGATCAAAATATCATTATGAAACCCTAGGTATCCAAATGCGTCAAACACTACCAAGTATTAAGAAAAACAATAGAAGAATTTTACCTTGTACTTGGGATAACTATAAACCGACGCCCTTGGTTCGATTGTTTCCAAGTTGTTCATCTAGGAGATTTCATTTTACAAAAACAATAAACCAGTTCTCCTTCGTAGTTGCATTCAACCTTGGTTGCTTATATTTTTTTACTTGGATCCAATATCTTTCTACATGAATAGATAAAATGGAGGTTGAAGACAACTCCTTAACACATGAAACTTTAGATAATAAAGGAAGAAGGAGCAAAAAACGATTCTAAGTTTTCAATCGACTATAATATCAAACCAATTTCAAGAAAGGGAAAAAGATATGTAGAATGAACCTGTTTCTCCCAAATCGATTTCCCCAAATCCAATTTTTTTTTTACCTTAATTTCACGTTTTAACCAACCAATTAGCCTTTGATATGTGGTGGGTAAAAGGGAAAAAAGGGGTAAATTTCCACATCGACGACAAAAGGTTCCATGTCAACTACCCTTCCAAATCCTTGTTAGCAACCACTTTCTTACATCAAGTCACATCATATACCATGTATAGAGCAAGTTTTTTTGAAGAAAAATATTTTTCAAAATCAAGTAAGAATGAAAATCATAAATTGATATTACATGGTTCAGATGTGACAGTAAAATTATTTATCCATAAACTCTATGAGGAATATAATATAGTGATTGGACTGATTAATAAATATTGTAATGAAAAGGATTTCAATAATAATTCTTTTCTCTATAGAAGTCCGTGGCAATGTGTTGATGGACATTATCACAATTAGTGGGTAAATAAGGTTTCTTAATTGATTTAGGAAACTAAATGATAATATTAGATTAAATGAAAGTCTAAATAAAATATTAGTTATGAGATGACATAGAATTGAACTCATAGATATAAAATGATCCCTAAAGATCCCATGTATATATTTTTTAAGTTTTATATACAAGACTTGTTCAATTATGGATTAGGCCTAATGGATCCAAGTACCTTTTGGAAGCCGAACATTTGAATGGTTGTTGAGATATTTTTATTTTTCATATATAATTATTTTATGATATAGGTTTTGTATTAAATAACAAATGTTGTTATTAAATTTAAAATAAAAAATCTGCTTTTCTCAAAACTATCATAATATTCATAATTTATCACTAAAATAAACTAATCCACGAACATAAAAAGGAATTAAAACAAGAATGGTTGGTTACCCATCGTTACTTCTCTCTCAAAGTTGCTTTTCTAACCCTGTAGAGAAAAAATTGCGAGCTGAGAGTGGTAGGATTAAGCATGTGAGTAGAAAAGAAAGGGGAATCTTCAAAGGTGCTTACGTGGAGGTAAGTAAGTGTGTGGATTGGTTTGGATTGGCCTGATCCAAATATCAACAAGGGCGAATCCGACGCGGATGGGGTCAGGCAAACTTTTGTGAGCTCCAAGCTTCTGCAGGCCAGTAGAATAGCGTTGGACTGAACTCGGTGGAGAAGATGGAGCCGAGCCGATTCAGCTGTCAATACTTCCCTTCCCTATTGCTTGACGACGGCATTGCTGGAACGCCTTCAACACCAGAGTTAAGTGCTTTCTCCTTTTTCAACTTGATGATGATGATGGTATAGCCATAGGAATTAGAAATTCAGAACAGAAAGTAAACAAGACAGGAGAAAGAGAAAACAAAATGGATGTGCTTCCTCCTTCAATTGATATACACATACCTTTCGACAAACCCAAATGTGAACATCCTCGTTGTCGTGCGAGTGCCTCTCTGAATCTGAATAAGTTGGAGTTGACCCATCAGCTGGTCCACGAAATTCCCCTTTCAACATCAAATACGTTCGCCTGGAACCAGTTGATCCAAACCCATCTCTCCAAAAAGCAACTTCGACAAGTCCTCTCTGTTTATCATGGGATGATGCTTCGAGGTGTCCGTCCCGACGAGCATACTCTCCCCCGCGTCTTAACCGCTTCTCGTCTCTGCACTAACTTATCTTTCGGGAAACAAGTTCATGCCCATGCTTTCAAGCTTGGCTTCTCCTCCGACCTCTATGTCATCACTGCTTTAATGGAAATGTACGGTCGTCTACACGGTGTTGACGCTGCAAAATGGGTGTTGGATAATGCCCCTAATACCAATTCTGTTGCTTGGACTATACTAGCTAAGTTGTCCTTGATAGACAATAAACCCCACTTGGCATTTGAAATATTTGACCAAATGCTTCGATTGAAGGCTGACATTGATCCAATAGGATTGGCAACAGCTATTGGCGCATGTTCCCTCTTAAAGTCCCTGCAACAGGCAAGAAACGTGCATCAGATTGCTAGGGACTGCGGGTTTGAATTTCATCTACTTGTCAGCAATTCACTCTTGAAAATGTATGTTGATTGCGATGGTCTGGAGGAAGCTCGATCTTTTTTTGATGCAATGCCATCCAAAGATGTTATTTCATGGACAGAGATGATTCGTGGGTATGTCAAGAAGGGGGGCTATAATGAGGGCCTCAAATTGTTTCGCCGAATGATTAGGGCTGGAATAAAACCTGATTCTCTTACAATTTCTAGCATTCTTCCAGCCTGTGCAAGAGTACCAGCTCATAAGCAAGGGAAGGAACTACATGCCTACTTGTTTAGGAATGGAATAGATTTGAATCCCACGGTCCAGAATGCTATCATGGATATGTATGTCAAATCAGGATTCATTGAATTAGCTTCAACTGTTTTCATGTGCATGATGGAGAGAGATATTGTCTCTTGGACTATAATGATATTGGGCTATAGCTTGCATGGACAGGGAGGGCGGGGACTAGATTTGTTCTTTGAGATGGAGAAAGAATCCAGCCTAGAAATAGATGAATTCACATATGCTGCAGTTCTCCATGCCTGTGTTACTGCATGCAGGGTTGATGTAGGAATGTTTTACTTCAATTGCATTCAAGCACCTACAGTCACTCATTGTGCTCTGATGGTAGCTCTTCTAGCTCGTGCTGGACTCTTTAACGAGGTACAGGCCTTCATTGAGGAACACCAGATTGTAAATGATGCAGAGGTACTAAGAGCTTTGCTAGATGGGTGCAGGATCCACCAGCAACTAAAAATTGGTAAACAAATTGTTGAGCAGCTTTGTGAGTTGGAGCCCCTAAATGCTGAGAACTATGTGTTGCTGTCAAACTGGTATGCTGACAATGCAAAATGGGACATGGTTGATAAACTAAAGTTAACAATCAGAGACATGGGTTTGAAGCCTAAAAGAGCATATAGTTGGATAGAGTTTCGAAGTAAAGTTCATGTGTTTCGAACAGGGGATGTTTCCCACCCGAGATCTGAGATGATATATTGGGAGTTGCAGCATTTGATGAAGAAAATGGAAGATGAAGGGCGTAGACCTAGTTCAGTGTTTAGCCTTCATGATGTGGATGAAGAACGTGAATGTATTCATATTGGACATAGTGAAATGTTAGCCATTTCTTTTGGGCTTATCAGTACACAAGGGAGAGAAACTATTCGTGTCACAAAGAATCTCCGAGTATGCCGAAGCTGCCATGATACTGCAAAGGTTATATCTAAGATAGTCGAAAGAAAAATCATAATAAAGGATCCAAATTGTTTCCACCATATTCAGGATGGAGTCTGTTTATGTGGGGATCTTTGGTGATTTGATTTTTCACCCTTTATTATTCTTCATTCATCCAACTCTCTAGATCTCAGTAGCTTTGACTGCAGCAAGATTAACCATTTCTGTTTATTGGTACTTGGTTAAAATATTAGAAAAATTTATAATTTTTTAATTTTTCCGAAGAGCCCTTTTCTTTCTATTATATCCAATTGAGCATCTAAAGTATTACTTTTGTTTCATTAAACTCTTACTTTACCTGAAAACTATTAAAATCTGTCATTTCTTCTATGTAGTATGTAAGTGGTCATTATATTTGTCAAATCAATATCCAAATGGCAAAAGTATGAAAATTCAGGCTTCATTTGGAATGCTTAAACAAATCTCTTTGTACTTCCTCCTCCAGCCTCCGCCCTTGGATTTCTCCGTCGGTTCGGTTTGGGCCTCCTCTCTTAGTGCTGTCTGCATCCTCCCATGGCAAACTCTTTTCTCCCTCAGCCATTTCAGGTATCGTCTGCTCTCCTTCCTTCCTCAGATTTGTGCTGAACTTGGGATTGAAAATGGCTATAACTTTTGTTTAAACTTGCTTTTGAGTGAATAGAAAGAAAGAAGAAAATTCTTTAGATTTTGATTTCGAATTTTACTTTTTGTTTTGGGTTTCTCTCATTTTATTTGAAACAAAAATGGAGCATTAAATTGTGTTTTTGGCAAATTCATTAAAGTTTCATTCTTTTTTTTAATAAAAAAAACTGTTATATTAGATTGAGTTATTTGATTAAATAAGTAGGCTTTATTTCGTTGAATCAAGTTTTAAGTCTATTATTAATTGTGATATTGATGCCAAATAAACCAACTGCCATTGATTTTCAATCATTGTGGATCAATTTTTGTGTAAAAGTTGACGTAAAAGATGTAACTTTTAAGTTTATAGTGATTAGTTTTTAAGTTTATAGTGATTAGTTTGGTACAAAATTAGGATTAAAGTTCACTCCTTGATGGCTTTCCCAATAGTTTCTAATGATGTGAGATCTACAAACTTCTCAATTGAAACTTGGTTGAGTTTTTTCTGTCTCCTTTTTTTTAGTTTATATGGGTTTTAATTTGTCATATCTGTGTTGAGTGTTAGTGTAAGTCTTGCAAGTCAATTGATTTTGTACTTGTAAACTACTATATTAATTAGTTATATTTTATGTTAAATATTTTATGAATATTTTATATAATATGTGAAGTATTTCTTTAATTATGAGTTTACTTATAAAAAGCCATTCAAGACTTATAAGATTATAAAGTCCTTGGAACATAATGACCTTACAAAAAAAATTATAAAAGTTATAATTATGAGATTTATATACATCAAGGCCTTGTTCCTAAATATGTTCCTGGTTATTGTATTGTCAAGAATAAGTGCATTGACAATACTTAAAGACTAGTACGTGTTAAACCTTTTTATTTTGAAAGTAAGCAACCAATCTCATAGATTGAAGTATGTGAAATACTTGAGAATAGTATGTAAGTGCTTCTTAAGGAAGAAATTAACTGAACATGTTCTGCTATGAGAGTTTTATTTGGCATTTCACTCAAGTGTCTATGAAAATACTCTCATGTGCCAGTAGTGTAAGTAATTCTTAGATTTGTGATATCAGGCCATCTTGTTTGTGAATTGTTATACTTTGATTTCACTTCTATAGGTCTAAAGGCGATCAGATGCCTAAACATGGAGCTTTTGGGTATGGCATGAAGCATGCAAAGATGAATGAGTAGTCCAAAGAGGATTCATCACCTTAAGTGATTTGAATGGGACATATTTCATTTACTCCTAGCTTATATTGACTAAAAGTCTTTTGCTAAGGTAATCTTGATAAGTCAATACGGAAGCTGCAATACTAATATGAATAAGTTAGAAAGTAGACACCAAGTCAGACTTTTTATCTATTCAAGATATATGATGAAATGATCGAATTACTATACACTGAAAGGTTAGTCAAATCATATTGGCTCTCCTAACATTTGTGTGATCATAATGTATTATTAGATACTACTCATGATCTATAAATATAAATATAAATATAAATTTTTAATTAAATTAATTTATATTTATTGTCAACATATCAAGGACCTATAAGTCACACACCATAAGATGACAATATAAAATTAAAATGGAATTGGTATTTAATTAGGAATTAGGAATTTCAAATATGGATTTCATTAAATCGTTTAATTAAGTGGAAGGATTAAAATGTAATAAACCAAAAGTTGGATCAACATTTTAATCTAATTGTAAATACTTTTTATATGTATGTCGCACTTTGCAAGAAAAAAGTGAGAAAAGATGACAAAAAAATAAAAGGGAAAAACCCAAGCCTTAGGTGTCGTTTTCTTAAGAAAAATTTTTCTTGTCTTCTTTTAAAGACAAAAACAAATAATCTATGAGAGATGAGATTTTTCAAAAATCTTGCCTACTAGCATAGCATCAGGACACTACATAATCCTAACCTAGTGTAAGTTTTTCAATTGAAGTTTGTGTGGATCACCATTGGAGGCTAGATACATAGACAACTTTGGTTTGGGACAACCAGGCTTTGGTGTACAATCAAGTGAATGAATTTTGACATGAGATTTTTGGAAATTACTTCTTGAGGTATATGGTTAAACATATATTTGTTTATACTTGCTTTTAACCGATCAATAAAGCAACATAAGTTATCCAAAGATAATTTCGTTCTTTGTATGTTTATATTCCGTTGCGTTATGTGAATGAGATTTCTTCTCTGAGCATGCCTAAAACCCTTCAATTGGTATCAGAGCTTCTTTGTTGTTGTTCTTTGATTGGATGTTATGCCTTGGTTGTTACCAAACTAACAAAAATTGTTTTGCTCGAAATTCTAGTCAAAATTGATACTTGTGCCTAAATTATCAAAAATTGTTTTGGTAAAGTTTAAGATTTAATTCCAGTATATTAATATAATTTAATACTTGTTTTTAAGTGTTTGAATACTGATTTCAACCAAGTTTTTGCAGGTTGAAAAGTTAGAGTTCAAATTGAAATAGTTTCATGTGAGTTTGAGCTTGAACGGTGATAAATCATGACCAAAAAATGACTAGAAAAATTGAGAATTTTTCTAAGGTTCATTTATATTACTTTGAATAATTTCCAACTTTAAAAATATGCTAAATTATTTATTATATGGTTTGGAAAATTCAAGTAATGGCTATCCATGAAAAGGTTTCATGAACCAAATTTTTAAGGATATGCAATGCCCAATGTGTTGTGGTTGTGGTGAAATTCCAACTTGTAATTTTTGGCCACCTTAATTGGTGTTTAGCTGCCACTTTAGGGGCTAGAAAGGAGTCCATGTGCCACCCCAATTGGTTTTAGTTTGGAAAACTTTGATTGATTAGAGAAAGGAAAAAAAAATCCTAAAGTTTAGGAAGGAAATTAATTCCATAATTGCTAATTGATATCCCAGAATTTAAAGGATAGGATTATGTCATATTTAATTAGATTAAATATGATAATTATCAACATATAATTCAACCAAGTTTGTTTCCTAAAATATATTTGGAAAGAAAATAAATTAGATTTACAAAATGTTTAAACGACTAGAATATGGTAACTACTTAAAAGATAAGGTTACCTATTTTGTTCTATTTCTAAATAATTGAGAAATTAATCAAATTGTTTGACTGGTTAATTAAATTAAATCATAATGATTAATATAAATGGAAATTTAATTAAGCCTAGTATGATAAGGATTTATCTTAATTCGATTAAGATGAATGTTAATTAAGCTAAGTGCATGGACTAAATTTAAAATTGGTAATTAAATAATAAAGCATATAAATGTTTAAATGTGCTCATGATTGTCAGTTAAAATTCTACTATGCAAATATACGTATCGAATAGATAGTATATTAGCAAGCAGAGTATCGATCCCACAGGGAATTGATCTAAAATTTTACTAAGTACTAAAATTAAAATAATTTAGTTTTATTCAAACAATTAAAATCTTAATTCTAATTGAACTAAAAATTACGCAATTAAAACTAATTTGATTACAAAGTAAAGCAATAAGATAATTGGGCAAACAGCAAATCAAACAAGCCTAGGATTACAATATCCCTCACACTTCATCTAAATCTTACCTATCTTTCTTAACTTATTTCAATGGGTTGAATTGCTAACCTAGAATCCTCAATTATTTATAAAGGTCTCCCGACTCATCTTATAAAAATATCTATTTTAACTAAAACACTATATCCCTATGTGAATTGAAATTAAAATAAACTCATTCAGTTCAGGCTCTAATCTGGCTACATATGGCCTATAGGTATATCCCTATCCTATACGCAAATCAATTAATATGATCATATGCTATCCCAATTTTAGTCTACACTAAACTCCCTTTTCCAAATTTGTTTAGGTTTCTAGATCAATTTAATTGGTGGCCAAGCAATTAAAAGCATTAAGAACAAATTGGAATAAACAATTCAAATCCCATTGAAAATAAGCAAGAAAGAGATTAAAAATTAGATTACATGTGAGTTCAATTGCAATCCTAGAAAAATAATTTAGTTCATAGTATCTAATAAAAACAATATCCAAAGAAATTTAGCCATGAATCCAAGTCAAAAGAAAATGAGAAAAACACAAAGGTAAGAGAGAAAACTAATAGTTATAGATTTGTGATCTTGATTCTCTCTCCAATTTTCTTGTTTCCTTGCTTTGTTCTTAGCTCCAAATCTCCAGAATAGTTGCTTGCTGCCTCCCCTCCAAAATCTCTGAAAAAGGCTCCTTAAATAGGCTCCAAATAACCTAATTTTCAGAAATCCTGTTAACTTCCCTTATTTTTAGGAAAGTCGCGCAGCGCTGCGGCGCTACTTCTCCAGCGCTGCAGCGCTGAGCTCTCTGGAATTTTGTATGTGTGCTTCCTTTCATCAACGCTGCAGCCTTGTTCTCCCAGCGCTGTGGCAGTCTATCAACTTCAAACGTGAGTTTCACCCTGATATGTTAGGAACTGAGTAAAGTAGTAAACATAAAATTTTTATCCGTCTCTTAACTTTCCCAATGGATTAAGAATCACATCAATTGGACTTCTGGATTGAAAGATTTGCTCCCAATACCGCATCATGTTCAGTCTTTACATACTGCTGCAGTGGTCCGACTTTGACAAATATTTTGACCATGATCCAATCAGAACTGGGCCAATTGGTGAACATAAACATTGTTTCCCTTCTTCTTGATCCAATCAGAACTGGGCCAATTGGTGAACATAAACATTGTTTCCCTTCTTCTTATAATTCGATTGGTCTAAGAATCACCTTATTTGGAGTATTTTAGAAAGAGATATGGTCAAAATACTGAAACATATACGAATGAAGCTATCACCATACTTGCACTGATTTTTATCAAATGAGTCTTTTTCATCAATTTCCTACAAAAGCCATAAGAGAAATTAGCAATAACTACTCTTAAAGTAATTTAAAATAAAATAACCTAAAATTTAACTAAAATAACTTAAATTAATCACTTAACAAGTAATCAAACTTAAACTAAAAAAAACACCTAAAATGTTAAAATTCGAACCTAAAATCTCAAAGATCTAGCTACTTAAGCTCCCAAAATGAGTCAAAATAACTCTATATAATAGAGTTATCAATGATATGATTGTGGATGTATGAGGGTGATTATAAACTTAGACCCAACGTCATTGTGAATGGTTAAATTTTTATGATATTTATTAAATTTTAAATAAAGTCTACACACCTTGCCTTTCTCTTTATTTTTCAAGGTTGTAACATTTTCTCCTCACCTAATTCCCCTCGAATGTAACTTAAGGTTTTTTTATTTCAAATGTAATTAGTTACATCAGAAAATAAAATTAAGATTAGCTAGTCATTATTTTGTAATTCGAAAATGGAGATATAAAAGGGCCATGAACATTACAAGCAAGCTTGGAGAAGACTTTGTATGTAATTACCTAAGATTTGACCAACTAATTTTTTTCTATGGCTTGAGAAATTAGAGTAGATAAAAGTCCATAATCATCCTAGTAGTATGCATATAATAGATTTATTTTATGCGATATTACAAATGCTATGCATGCCAAAATCAATAAGACTTAAATAACAAATTAAAACAACAAAACCCTCATTAAAATATTGAGTCACATGGGAGGCACAATCAAGTTGCCTTCCCCTATATAGCAAGATAACTGGGTTTCTTTTTTAATTGGAGGCTTGTTGAGTCACTCGAGGTCAATTTTTTACATGAATACGTATGAGCTATAAATGGGTCTTACTCAACTAATATTGTGTCGTTCGGATGTGTCACATTGGACCACATGGTATTAGAGGTATAGTTAGGGGAAATGCATATGATACATTTAGACAAGAAGTTGTCACCTAATTGATTTAGGAGTTGCATAGAGATGCAATAGATAAACTATGTTAGCTACCCAATTAGGCTTATTGTGATTTGTTGAGTCACTCAAGGTTGCAATAAGTTGAAAAGGGTTCCAGCTCGTTAGAAATGCCTAGTAGAGATTTTTATGTAATAGTGAAGGCTATGATTACAAAAAATTAGTGGGAGAACCAATGCAAAATTTAATACCTCGTTTTAAATTGGTTAATAACGTGAAAGACTAATACAAATACTTTTTTCTATATTTATAAGTTGTTAGAATTGGTCTAATGATAATTGTTACTTTGCTTGGCATACTTGATGCCATCAGCCCAAAATGTTTGCACTGGTATATCACCTTGAGAAAAGTTCTCAACAAATGGAATGGTGTAATCTTGACAAGTAAAGAGATTATTTTAAATATGATTAAGCTTAACCTTTCTATTGCCAATCTTAAATCTTAGATAATAGATTCAAGATATGGATCGCATTTATGTACTAACAGAAAGGCTTTAAGGGACAATAAGAAACTTGGTAAAAGTGAGGTAGTCTTAAGAGTGGGCAATGGTGCAAAAATTGTAGCAATTGTCGTCGAGCTTGTGATCTCATTTTACCATCAAGCTTAGTACTAGAGCTAAAAAAGTGCTATTGTCTGCTGGCATTAACTAG